TTCCTGGCCAGGTATACGCACACATTAGATTGGCTAAAGTCTTCTGCCAACCGAAGTGTCCCTCTTTGTCATGGCATTCCCCTAGGATCAGACTACGGATCTCCTCACTGTTGGGGATGCACAGGCGGTCTACTACATTGGTCTTCTCAAACAATAGTCCCTCAGTAGTGCGGTAGTCTGGTTCGGTCTCTGGGGCCTCCTTAACTCTCTTGAGGAGGTCACTATAGATAGGGTCCAGCGCATACGCCTGTCTAACTTTCTCTCGCAGGTCCTTCCCTATATCCAGATAGTGTACCATAGCTCCAAAGTAGTGTGATCTCTTACTTAGAGCATCCGCAACTACATTGTACTTGCCTTTGACCGGTTTGAGCTCAAAGTCATACTGGTCTATCTCAGCGGCCCACCTAGTCAACTTAGGTGTCATTTTGGCCTGGGTCTTTAACCATCTAAGCGTCTCATGGTCAGAATATACTTTGAAGTGCCTCCCAAGCAGACAATGCTTCCAGTGCTCTAAAGCATGCCTGAGAGCGTAGAGTTCCCTCTCGTACGTCGAGGTAGTAACCTTTTCTGAGGGCATCCTCGCTGACATAAACTTTACGAGTCTGTAGCCATTGTCGTCGTCTTGTTGCAACACGGCGCCTATACCATACTGACTCGCGTCCGTGGTGACGACAAATGGGAAAGACGGATCAACTACTTTGAGGACATGATACTCTATTAACGCGCGCTTCAGTCTCTTTAGTGCGGACGTACAATCTTTGTCTCATTGCCAGATTGCCTCTTTCGGGGGAGGCATCGGAATCAATCAATCTATTAATCAATCAATCAATAAAGTCTGCATTTCRACATTGATTGGGTGTGATTATTGGTATGGTTGCCTTTCGCGGGGAGGTACGGCCAGGGGGGTTGCGTTTCTCTCCCTCCTGATTCAGATCACTGAAGATAGCTATGGCGCATGGCGCCCAACAATCCCTCCCGACCAAGAAGAAGAAGTTAAGGAAGAAGAAGACGAAGACGAAGAAGACGAAGAAGAAGAAGAAGAAGAAGAAGAAGAAGAAGAAGAAGACATAAAATCCACCAAGGCGAAGAAGAAGACAAAGAAGAAAATGAAGACGACGACGAAGAAGAAGTAGAAGTAGAAGAAGAAGAAGAAGAAGAAAAAGGTTGACCGGAGTTTAAGGTGGAAGAGGAACCTACCTGCAGAAGCCATATCTTCCTCTTCTCTTCGTCTCGTCAAATGCCGCAAAATATCTTCTCATCAAATGCTCTCAAATGCTGTCAAATGCCGTCAAATGTCGTCAAATGTCGCAAAATCTCTCTCTCTCTCTCTCTCTCTCTCTCTCTCTCATTCTCTCTCTCTCTCTGCTACGGTCTCTCTCTCTCTCTCTCTCTCTCTCTCTCTCTCTCTCTCTCTCTCTCTCTCTCTCTCGGCTATGGTCACGGAGAGAATGACAATAACTGAGAAATCCAATGGGCAAAAGACATGAGAGCAATGATCATTGAGGAATGCACA